GACCCTACTGAATCATCTCTGCTAAAATCTATCTTATCTTATCCTCCATAACAAAACTCAAATGAGTACCCTGCCCTCAATGTCGGGACATGGGCCCCCAAATTTGAAGAAATCTCACCAAATGGCACAAAGCCACTCTCCTCTAGTGACAGGCCACCAAAGCCTGAATTGAAACCTCTCCCATCTAACCTCCAGTATGCATTCTTAGGAGAGGACAAGTCGTACCTAGTGATAATTTAATCTAAGCTCATGGACTTGTAGGAGTCTAAACTGATTAAAGTTCTTAAAAGCCACAAAAGCACCATTGGGTGGACCATCACAGATTTGAAAGGTATAAGCTCGTTAATCTTCAATCATGCTATATATCTGGAAGAGGATTCAAAACCCTCTCGTCAAATGCAGCGATGAATAAACCCTCACATGAAGGAAGTTGTGAAAATAGAAGTGCTTAAACTCTTAGATGCAAGGATAATCTTTCCCATATCAGATAGTAAATGGGTTAGTTCAACCCAAGTTGTGCCCAAAAAGTCTGGGGTCACAGTGGTAAAAAATGAAGCCAATTAACTAACCCCAACTCGAGTCATCACAGGATTGTGGATGTGTATTGACTATCGAAAACTCAATTTGGTGACTAGAAAATACCATTTCCCTCTTCCCTTTCTGGACCAGGTGCTAGAGAGAATTGCAGGGCATGAATTTTATTGTTTCCTGGATAAGTATTTTGGATATAATCAAATTGAGATAGAACTCAATGACCAGGAGAAAACCACATTCACATGCCCCTTTGACACTTTTGCATTCAAAAGGATGTCATTCGGACTTTGTAACGCTCCTACACATCAATTCACAATTTAGTTTCATTGATGTACAAGACATCCTAAATATCACTTTAGTTTAAAGCGTAAAGTTTAGTTAAAATTTCAACCAACAATTTTGTTCAACCTAGTCCTATTTCTCTAGCGGTGATCCATAACCTACAACTCCCATGTAAGACCTAAAGTCTAAGCTCTGATACCAAAAATTTGTAACGCCCCAAAATTCACCTTGGAGGATATTACAATCTATAAACCATTCACATCATGAGAGAAACTAAATAAATTCATCATTAAAGAAATTTCATTCATCAACTATAACATTTACAATATTATCCCAACAGAATAGGTCAACTATGACCATTACATCCCAAAAGAATGTGATCGACTATGATAATTACATCCCAAAAGAATCACATTTAAACTTGCAGCGGAATAACAAAAGATTAGTCTTTACATAATCTCAAAAGAAATTTCCTAGTCTAGCACCTAGAAGAGTATAATCCTAGACATCCACCTCAGGATCCAAGAGCGCGTCTAGTGGAGCTTCCCAATGTATGGGCTCCTTAACTCCGAGCTCCTCCTCTAAACCACAATCCAAAAAATATAGTTTGTAGGGGGTGAGCACAAAGCTCTGGAGCAACATTCCTCCCAAACTTGAACAAAGTTTAGAAAACATGTAAAACAAGTCGGTCTCATTTCACAAATATCATATATTAATTTTTGAAAGAAAACAGGAACATTTCAATAGATCTCAAGTTTACACAATAGCAATAATTTAAATCAGCAGTAAAATGAATTTCTCAACAATAAACCATTTCTAACCATAAACCATTTCCCACAAGTTCTTGTGGAGTCCCATACCACCACAAGCTCTTGTCGAAAACCAATTCCACAAAATAACCATATTCTCATGTATATGTTGGTTGCTTCCCATGAATCTACACAATGACTCTACCTCGTTAACCCAATCATAACCACATAAACCACTTTAGGAAGGGTGTATACTGTCTCCTACGGCATTGACAAATCTTTTCCAGGAAAGGTATACCCACCCTTAGCCTCGAATCTATGTGAACAATAGTGGTTGCTCTCACAAATAATAAACCACTATAAGTGTTAGAAAACCATCTCACCCCCACTGGGATAGACTAACCTCTAACACTCTACGGCAATGCTCGAATGCAATTCAAGTCCATCACAACAATAATACAAGAGATGCAATTCCAACCAAATTCTCAAATCATAAATTTCCAAATTTCACAATTTGTAATTCAAGAGAACTATTTAAGAAAATAAGCAAGAGATAATTACAACATCATTTTATTACTCAACACAAAGCACTAAGGTTTTGGAAACAAGAATAAAGGAAGAATCAAGAGGGAAAACCCATCTCTTTTTGAAAACTAGGATTTTATGACAAGAAAAGAAATTTCATGGTTATATAATCATAGTTTTATTTAAAACATGGTAATGATTGCAAAAATCTCTAGGAATCATGATTTCAGAGCATATACATATGATTAAGAGTCAAAGAATACATATATACAAGCTCTAACCTCAATGGACAAGAATGGAAGAAAACCCCTACCTTTCTCTTTGGTTTTGGTGTGAAGGACAGGAAGATTTGATCTTGAATCACCCTTAAAACTCTTTTTTTCCCTTTCTCTCTTCCTCTCTAAGTGTTTCTATTAGGGTTGTAAAAGGTTTGGGGGTGAGACTGGGGTGAAAGAATGGGAGAAAATGGAGTGAAAATGGGATTTTAAAACATAAAAATCCCAATTTTTTTAATGATTTATCGGTAGTTCATATCAAGCTACTGGTAGTTCGGATCCACTGGCAACTTACTACCTGTTGAGCTACCGGTAGTTCAGATTCACTGACAACTTACTACCTATTGAGCTGCAAGTAGTTCGGATCCACTGGCAACTTACTACCTGTTGAGCTACAGGTAGTTCGGATCCAATGACAACTTACTACCTATAGGTCCTGTTCAGATTTGCATATTTCCTCTATTTTTCATTTCAAACCCTTCTCAAAACCAACCCAAACTTGTACAATATACATTTGTACATCAAACATAGTTGGTATAAGTTCTATTGCAAACGGTTTCATATATTTACAAGTCAAAACTAAGTTTGAACTAAATATTTACTCAATTCTACACTATTAACATTTTTATCTCTACTCTTACAATCTACTTAGTTCATGCATACTCCATTACGTATATTAGCATTTCAAAAACATAATTATGTTGCTATATTTGATAATACGAATGTGGGAGTTTACAACTATGAATCTACATACCGAACCTATCTCGTCCGCCCACAACACAAATCATCTCAAATCAATCCCCCGCAAGGCCACACCACTTACAACACTTTAGAAAGGGTGTGTACTGATGTATCAACATTGGCGTATCCTTTCCTAGGAATAGTATACTAGCCTCCAGCCTCAAACTTACGTGAATAAATAGTGGTTAGCTCTCGCAAGAACTAAACCCTCTACGAGCGTTACACAACCATCAAACCCCTCAAGGTAGGACAACCTCTAACACTCTACAATACGCATTCGAGTGTAACCCACATTCATCGCACCCATCAATACAAGAGATAAAAATAACACTTTTCATAAAATTCAACTACAATCAAGAATCATTGATGCATAAATTTTTCAAAAGAATAATTCGACAGAACATGCAAGAGATCCAACAAAAAATATATTTGAATTGATAGTAATCAAGAACTATGATTTTGTAATCAAGGAAGAATAGATTTTGGAAGTAAATCATCTATTTTGTTCAAAAAAGGAATCATGAATTCAAAAGAACATAAAACATTGTAAATCAATTATTTATATTATAATAATGATGAAAAAGATATATTATATAATTTTAATCATCAATGAATGAATTTGAGAAAGAACCCCTACCTTTAATCTGATGTTCGAAGATAATTCTACCGTGTTTGAATCAATCTCGAAGTGAGAATCTTCCTCGTGTCTCTTCTCTTTCTTTCTCTCAAGTTTTCTAAGATTTTCTTGGATGAACGATTGCAAAACCTATGCCTAAGGGTCATTATTTAGGTATTTATAATACCAAAAGTGAAGAAAAATCTCAACACAGATCGTCCAACTTCTACCCGGTGTGTCCGGACGAGTGTTTCTCCTGTCCAGACACGTTTGACAGTATACCCTCGACTTCTAGATCAATTTTGACCAATTTAGAAGCTTGTTCATGAAATTTTCATGAAAATATACTTTTGTACCTCTTGAAGTACAGTTTATGATCTCCAAACATAAGCTCTATTGGATATTAGAGTAAAAAGTTATAACCAAAATAATAAGGTTGTGTCAAATTCTTTTGTACTAAAATCCTCTCTAAAATAGGTTTTAACTTTAGAATACTTTCTAATTTCAATACATCCCCTATTACCTCTCCCAAAGTTTTTTGACCTTCCGAATTCAATGAAAATCTTATTTTGATCTAAAAATATCTATAAAATTACTTAACCACACTTTTCAATCCAAACATTTCCAAAACTCAATTTATTTCAAAGTAAATAAGCGCAAAACTTAAAATTTATAATCGATCTTTTAACTATAATTCTAATTTTCTACTATCATTTTATTCATCTTAGGAGAACTCTTAAAATAATATTATCCTTATTTAAAATTTTAATATGGAATCTTACAAAGACAAATTATAAATGGATCGAGTAAATATTAAACAAAAGTATTTATGCAAACAATTTTCAAATTTTTTTTTATATAACTTCATATAAATTATTGTATAATTAAATGAGTTTTGATTTTGTTTCACCAATATATAGATCAAGTGATTTTCAATTTATAAAAAAATTATATGTTCAAATTTTGGCAGAGAAAAAGTTAAGCTTTAAATTTATGTTTTTTAGTTCATAAATTCCACATAAAAACGAAAGAATTCAACATACCATCGATTAACATCTCTAATTGGAGCCGCTAAGAATGATTACTTCTTGATTGATTTTCATCGGTTACTACCTACCAAACTTCTTTCAACTTAAAATTCGGAAAAATATAAACAAAAACTTTGTACCACATGCAGGCCTGAGGTAGATGCATGCTCCACGATGTCATTCCAAACTCAAAAGCATTTAAAATGCTCCCCACCCAATGGCCTCTGCAACAACCAAACTTGTCCACGCCCAACTACATCCAAACCAATCATATATAATCCTCCAAGCTTTCGCTGGTTAGGACACAAGGAATATAAACTCGCTACCTACTAATACCACCACCAAAAAGATCAAACCGGCAGCCACATCAATGCGGGTCAACGTCCAAGAAACCGCAATAATCTACCCCTCTAAATCTCCTTTTGATCAAGACCATGTCTTGTCACTATCTCACCTTGACACTGATCGGAACCTCTGCGTCAGCTTCCGTTACCTCCGAGTCTATGTTAACACCCATGGCCGTAACCACCACCATCCCGATCCCTTCCACGTCATCACCACTGCCCTCTCCACTGTCCTTGTCCACTACTATCCCTTCACCGGCACTCTCCGCCGTCGCCACGTTGATGGCCGGCTCGAGCTACATTGCATAGTGGGCCAAGGAGTGCCAGTAATCCGGGCCACCGTGGACTGTCCGTTAGATTCGGTTAACTACCTTGATGACCCGCATGAGGAATTTGTTGAAGGGTTGGTACCCGACCCAAAATCCGAAGAAGGTACCACTAGCCCATTTATTTTACAGGTTACTGTTTTCAACTGTGGCGGGTATGTTCTCGGGGCTAGGCTGCACCATTCAATGTGTGACGGACTTGGGGCAACCCAGTTTTTCAATGCCATGGCAGAGGTGGCTCGTGGGGCGAGTCAGTTAGCAGTTGAGCCGGTTTGGGACCGGATGAGTTTGCTTGGGCCAAGGGACCCGTGCCGGGTGGAATTTCCCATTCACGAGTTTTTGAGATTGGATAAAGGGTTTTCACCGTATACTCAATCGGGTAAACAGGTGATTGGTGAGTGTTTTCATGTGGAAGAACAGTGGTTGGACCGGTTCAAGGGGTTAATCCGTGAACGTTCCGGGTCGAGTTTTACAACATTTGAAGCATTGGGTGCGTTTATATGGCGGGCAAGGTATGTCATATTTAGTGTGTCTACGCATTTAACACTAGTTAATTGGAAAATATCCTCTTGTTTGACATGCTAATCCATTTCAAGCCCCATAGATTGGTTACATTCCATTTTTACCCTAATTAATTTTAATGGAAATTTGTGACTCCACCACTCTTAACTTGGTTGCGAATATTTATGAAAATATATGGGAGATGAATTTTAGAGTTTGACGAGATTTCTCGAGAATCTAAAAGGAGTGCTCACGAAAGTACTCCCTACTCCCTCCCAAATCCATAGTTTGACGCCTCATCATATTCTAAAATTTACATTAGAGTTTGGTCATTTTTCATGCTAAATGTCAAAAGTGACGAGGTAATAATAAAACCCAACAAATTAGAAACTTATGACTTGCAAGAGTCTAATATCCTAGAGATTAAGTTAACAGTCTAAGTATCATTCGATTTAACTTGTATTGCCCATGTCATGACATGGTATTGCTGGAATGGTGATTTCATTATGCGAGCAATGTATTCTGGTTTGTTGTGTTTTAATTTATTATGGTTGACATTATTATTTTCTTGAAAATTTCTTAACTTTATTATTTGAGTTGCAATTCAATATACTCAATCGCTCATTGTAGCCCCCGAGGAAACTAGTGCCAAATGACCACCATTGATGACAACTAATATTTAGCTAGTGACAAACAAGAACTTAAAAATGGTTGAAGTATTGACATAACAATAGTGAAATATGAGTTCGAATATGAGGACATCTATATTGTGAAAATTACATCAAATATTCCACCCAATCTATCGCTACACTCTAAATTATATCGTGCACCAAACTAAGCACCTACCTAAATTTCTTAGAACATTAAGTTAAACATTATTTCGGTGTGCCCAAAAGTTGTGCATACCTAAAGAATGTAGGACTGCTAACCAAGGGTTGTTTGTACTTGGTGCACAAGATTTTAGCTTTTTCGGGTTTGAGATAAGTAAATAATACGCAGCCTTTATTTTCGAGATTCTAAATCCTTAATTCAAATATATGGTGTATTACAAGGCAAAAAAGCACCTCCAACCGCCTAACACCTGACCTTTTAGGACCAAGTAAAACATACAAATAGAAAATAATAGAGGATAAATAGAACTGGATTTTCGTTGAAAAAATTAAAGACCTCGTGAATATCGAGTTCAAGTGCCCACATTTTAATGGCATTTCACGAGTAGAGATTACCACACAAACTGCGTAGAGTGTTGAAAACGGATCTGATCCAAGGCGAAAGCTATTTGATTTATGAAAAGGCAGATAAATTAACCTTCCAACAAAGTTGCAGCATACAAAAGTCTGAGTGGATTCCTTTTTATGATTGCAATTTTTGAAATTCATATAAACTAGTTGATGAAATATGTCCAAAAATATGGGAACAAGTTGGAGCTCATATTATTTGTTACCGGTGTCCTTTTTCTTGGTTTCAAATTCATGGAGCAGGGTCAAGGCCTCTGGGTTTCCAAGTACTGAGAAGGTGAAGTTTGCCTACTCAATCAACATAAGAAAGCTAGTAAAGCCTTCCCTACCTGTTGGCTACTGGGGCAATGGCTGTGTTCCAATGTACGTGCAGCTCACCAGAGAAGACCTCGTGGAGCAACCCATCTGGGAAACATCTTTGTTGATCAAGAAGAGCAAACACAATGCAACTGATGAGTACGTGCGCTCGTTTATCGACTTTCAGGAGCTTAATTATGATAGAGGGGCCACGGCAGGGGTGCGAGTGAGTGGATTTACTGATTGGAGACATTTAGGCCACTCCTCGGTGGATTTCGGATGGGGAGGTCCAGTAACTGTCTTGCCTCTCTCCAGGAACCTGCTTGGGTGTGTTGAGCCTTGCTTTTTCTTACCTTATTCTTTGGCAAAAGGGAGGAAGGATGGGTTCAAGGTGTTAGTTTGTTTGCAAGAAGATGCGATGCCTGCTTTCAAGGTAGAGATGGATAAGTTTAGTAGGCAAGAGTTTGAGTTATCTTGATTTTACTTGGCAACTCCTGTTGTATGGTGTTGAATCTTTTGATAAGGGCTTGATGAACATGAAGTTGTTCAATTTATGCTAATAATTGAGGAAGAAGAAAACAATAAAGGAATAAGCAAGGGAGCTTTGTGTACGGGTCGCCATCTTTTAATAGTTTCATTATCCAGAGTTTGTTCTTGATTTTATAAACACCCAAATTCAAATGAGCATTTGATGGAATTTTCCTATTTTGTTGGTGGCTTACTACATCACTGTTTGATTACACAACTTTGAAGCATGAGGGATGGATGGTGTGAAATTTTGAAGTCGAATCTGCTCGGAAAAATAGACAAGAAGAATAACGCAACAATTCCTTCCTTTTTTGTGTCGAAATTGGATAACTTCAAAACCAGTAGTATAATCAAGTAAACATCCACAGGTTAAACATAAAAATCAAGTAAGGTATCACCTTAAGGAGGTGATGTTGGCGATCTGCAATTGGGTCATCTATTATGGTCGCGAAGGTGTTTGAAAGTCTGCTTTAATAGCAGAATCATTACTGATGATTATTAAAAAATTATCGAGGCAGGCACATGGGAGTAAGCTGGGCACTCGGGCATTGGACTCGTGAAACTCCCCTTCATAAGAGGGCTCAGTAACCGCCAAATATTCTGCTCACCCAAAAAAAAAAAAGAACTTACACCAGCCGCAATACTCTTGGAGGGAGTTCCACCTTTCCTGCCACTTCATTTGAAAAGCAACCGAGGGATTTCCATCGGTACCATTTTTTCAGCCTATAAAAGGATTGTACAAGCTATGAATCATGTAAGTAATTCCTCCTAGTTAAATACCACTCAATTTTTTTACACGTTTACTGACTGAATCATCAAAGTGTTGACACCAGAGTCCTTTCGATTTTCGACTTCCTTGCAAGAATTTACCAGCCATTCCCAGCCATTCCCAGGTCACCCTACAATCCATTGGTCCAGTTTTTGGGGTTAACAGATGGCACCGTCTGTCAAGGGTGGCCCAAGGTCAAGCGGGGCTTTAGGCAAAATTTTATATGAGGCCCTATTAATATTTTGTCTATTGTTATATCTTATTTTTAATTATTATAATTTTTTTATGTTTTCAAAAAATTATTTTTATTTTCTTAAATATTTAAAATATTGATCAAGTTTTTATACTGAAGTTTTGACAATAATTTTTTTTAATATATAATATTGTTAATTCATCCACTCTTAGTTGATTGTAAATAAAATTTTATCGATTTAAATTTTTAACAAGTAATTTAATAATAGAATATGCGAGTAAAGAATAATTTTAACATTATAAAGAATCATTATTTACCCATGAGTAATGTGCACACATGAAGTACAAAACTTTAAAAACATAGATAATTTAAGTATAAATTATTTGGATTGAAAATTTATATTAAGACAAAAAATGAGCCAATTTTACAGATTTTCACCACAAGAAATAATGAATATAAATTTTCTATGCGAGTGAGTGAAATACAACTATGAACACATCCAAAATATTTAGAAAAATATAAATTAAAGCTCACACGAATGAGTAATTTTGGACCCAGAAAAATTAGGTATTGATTTGAACTATTAAAATTTGAGTCCTAAAAATTTGAATCATATCTAAAATACAAAAAATAAAAATAAAAAGCACTATTATACTAAAGTGGTAAATTTTATGGAGGCCTCTAAAATTTGGGCTTAACCAAGTAGAAAGTAAATTTTGGACCTAATAAAATTAGATACTGATTTGAACTAATAAAATTTGAGCCCTAAAAAATTTAATCATATCTAAAATATAAAATAAAACAGAAAAAATTAGAGTTACTATACTAAAGGGATAAATATTGTGGGGCCGTCTAAAATTTGGTGCCTTTGGCAAGCAACTTAGTTGCCTAGGGGTTTGGCCGGGCCTACCATCTGTGGGAATCAACTTGATTTCCAGTGACAAAACTACAAATCCCATGGCAATAACTAGAGCATCAAAAGAAACATTAGTTGATCAAACTCATGAACACGCCAATACCCGTCCAATGGGATGAAGGGGTGTGCTGCCTCTAGAAAATGAGTCAGTAAAGGTCATGAGAATGGAAAAGGCGATCGAAGAGTTGAAATGACAGAATCAAAAAAATCCTCCAACTCTTAGAGCATGATCAATCTCAAACCAAAGAGTATGTGGGAGATAACCAGGAGGTTGATCGAAGCCAAAACGAAGTTGTCCGCCCCAAAATCAATGACCAATGAGCGAAAGTTTTTGGAGGTAAATGAAAATTTGAGAAATGTTATAAATACGGTGAAAGTCTAAGTTCCAAAAGCTATTGAGAACCTTGTCCAGCGCACCGAATCACCATTCTCCCTGGACTTATCAAATTATCCTCTACTAGAGAGGTTCAAGATGCCGACAATTAAAACATTTGACAGACCAAAGGACCCCCGAGTTGATCTTAATCGTACACACCCATATATAAGTTGTCAAGTAGTAATATTTTCGATGAAGTCCAAGGTCAATTCCTCAGGGAGTTATTTGTGGGAAACTCGAAATAGAAGAGAGTGAATGAAATCTAGCAAAAGATTTTGAAACAGTGGATTGTGGTATGAGCTTAGTGATTTGAAATCAACTTGTTTAAAACACGAATTTGCAACAATTAGAAAAGGAAACTCTTAAGTTCAAGGATCGGGACATGCTTGCCATTGCTTGAATTTATGATAGTACTATCATACTACAATTAACTTCCGTGTCAATGGTAAGTTAATCGGAAGGTATTTTATGTACAACCATAACACAATAATCATTAGCTTAACCGGAAGGTATATTAACCACACCATAACCATTTTACCCTAGCAAACTCGAAGGTACAACCATTCAAAGGTTTACTTTGATAACTTGATTGGAAGGTCTATGAATTAATGAAAAACATAGCTCCAGATTATGCATTGAATCAAAAGGATTGAATATGGTTAGACTTTAGCCCGTCGATACTCAATCTCCCAACTTTTGCATAAAACCTAGCTTTGTAATCCATCAAGGCATGCATGAAGTACATAAAAATAATAAAGATGGTATAAATATAATAGTACAAATTAGAAATACATAGTACAAAACATTTAGGTAGGTACCATCTATCAATTAAGGGAGGTATATAAAAATAAAGTATAATTGAAAAATGCAATTATCATACCCCAAACAATGTTATACAATATCCTTCTCCCCTCACTAAAGAGCTAATAAAAAACTACCCACTCTTCACAGTCGTAAATAACCTAGAAAAGTGGTTGATCTTCATTTCTCCAAGCAAGGTTAGATTTACAATACAACAGAATAAAATTAAAACAAAGCTCCTAACTCTTCCCTGTAGTTAGATTGAAACACCACTACACTTCTTTTGCCAAGGCAAGGCTAGGAAAAGTGAAAGCAGTTCAACCCTCCAGGTAAGAAGAGGTCTTTAAGAAATGTAGAAGGGAGAGAATTGCAATACTGAATTAGAAAATGGAATTGGTTTGAAAATCTAGCGAGAGGGGGGTATTCATAGAATGGGATTGAGAGACAATTGCTATAATAGTCAAATCAAATTTCATTGTTGCCACAACTGACCAATGGAAAGACAAGGAGGTAAGTCGGTTAAAGCAATGTCTCGACACCACCATCACCGTCTGGATAGTGCTCATCCACTGGGTTTCTTCATTTGGCTTGACATTGCTGACTTTTCAACTTTTGCTACCGTTGGGATGGTCCTTTGTACCGTTTGGATGGTGCTTTGTTACTAGTTTCCTTCTTTGTTTTCCTCTTTTTTTCCTCTTTGCACTTTAGCCCTCCAATTCTCCCTTATTGTATATAAAACCCTACAAAACATATTATTCAAACATTAGGCATTATATAATTTAAATCAACACTTTAATTCAACTAACACACATAATTAACCCTAAATTCTAATTCGCTAACACACTTTCTACTGTTAATCACACCCCCAACCAAACATTACTAGTCCCTAGTAATCAAAATAAAACATACAATCATTTTCGTAGATTTCACAATAGCATTTAGCTTATACAAAAAGTCGTTAAACCCATAGGTGCACCCTAGTGGATGAGTTGTGTCTCACGAAGGTTTCCAGTGGAGACACCTAAAAACTTCAATAGTTAAGATAAAATAACTCATAATTTTAACACATAAGATTCAATCATTATTCCATCTTTCTTTTGGAATATTCCTCCTCCCCTTATCACTTTAAGAGTACCACACACCATTTGAAACCCTATTCATTACAATTTCATGCAAAAAGTGTGTGGTTGTGTGTGTGGATTTCTTTCGATTCGAAAATAATGTATGAAATATTGCAGCCCTCCATTAAGCTGTACAAAAATTAGCTTTGATGTCAATCATTTCCTGGGAATCATTCAGCAAAGAAGACACTCAAGTTTTAGTGACTATCACTCAAAAATTACATGTGATAAGAATATTGTAAACAAAGCAAAGTAATGTCAAATGGAATATTTGAAAAGAAGGTTATTCAAATAAAAACTAAATTTGGCCTAATCCCATGAAAGAATATTAACACTATATCAAAAACATTATCAATAGTCTTCCTTGCAACGAATACATATGCATGACTTTTGAAATCAAAAAGGACTTTATTAGGGTTATAACGTGGCCAAGGGTTTTGGGTTTAAGAAATGATGTCCAAGGGATTCAGAAGCTATCATTTTCATTTATGTAAGCACACATCTCCTTTTAAACTTCCAAACTTTACTGAAACAACACCATTTTTCTCCATTTTTTTCCATTTTCATTTCTTTCAATCTTGGGCCTTCACTTGCTTTCTAAATTCACTATCATTCTTTCTTTCAACCTCTTTTCACACATTCTTTCCTTTCTTCACTTTTTTCCTTATTTCCAATCATATTTCTTCACTTTTCTTTCACCGTATGTATAATTCTTTTTTTAAAAGAGGGCGCAAGAAAATTAGATATCCACGGTTGAATAAATTCTTTTCTCCATGGTTCAGTCATCAGATGGGTTAAAGAAAATAAATGTTTACTTAGGCTCAATTAGGGCTTACTAGGGATTTTCTCTAAAGCAATGGACATAACTCAAAATAAAATCACAAATGGCCATAGAACATTTTCTACAATACTTACACAGGCATAATTCTCATAAGAATTTCAAAGGAGAATGCTTACATGCCACTCAAATAGTGTTAATCAAAATAAGATTAATGTGATTATTCAAAGAAATACTACGTTGAACTGAAATTCTTATTTGAATAAGCGTTTAAAACTCTCCA